ATTGTTTTGTGTTGTTTTAATTTTTTGTTTGTATCCCCCTTCCCTGCTTTGAGTTGTGAGCCGCCCTGAGTCCCCTTCGGGGGGAAAAGGGCAGCATATAAATAAAATAAACATTCAACATTCGTTCTGAAAGTCCTCCTAGTTAAGTCCTCCCCCCCCCCCTCCAAAGTCACTCAGACAATCTTGGCTTCCTGCTGGAAGCTGCACACAGTTGTATACATGTTGATTTTCACGGGAGCCAGGATCCTGCCGATTTGTCACACTAAATCTGTAACTCTGCAGGAAGTTGATACCATTTGATGGGATTGGCAGAGTTTAATTTGAGTGTTTACAGGAAGCTGTGGATTTTTGCTGCAACATATAGCAGTTATTGTCGATGGTCATGTTTGAAAATTCTTTGCAATCGCTGTAGTTCGATTAGTGGTCTCATTTTATATTATTAACTTTCTTGTCCAGGAGTAAGGAGGGTAGAAATATGAAAAGAAATTTTGGATATTAAAAAAAACAAAAACCTTAATTCCTGTAAATATTGTCTTAATCCCATCTGGCTGAAGGATGACACTTCCTTCCCCCATGTTCAAGGATTAAGCTAGAGATATGAATTAGAACATATCTCTTACTATTGTTAGAAATTAACTTATATGGGATAATGTAAAAATCCAGATTTATTCTAAGTTTCTTGGTTGTTAGAATCTGGTTCTCGGTATAATATCCCAGATAAAAAATAATGGACATTGCTAACACTTAAAGTTAAATAAGATGTTGCCTTCTTCTCCAATACTATCAATATTATACAACAATTTCTTCTTTGCCAAATATCAGTGTTGGTCTGAGTTACGTTTTTCTCTTAATTAATCTGCAAGTGTATTTAATTAAGTGCAAAGTAGATGTTGAAAGATGGGAGAAAAGGTAATTAGTTCTGGTTGCTTTTTTTGTTAAACTTTATTCTGTCTGAGTTAGAGTTGCTGCTATATCAGTGGACCTCTTAATTTCTTTTTGAAAATGACTTTGGACTGTATGATATTTCAGCTTTATTCCCACCAATAATCTTAGGTGAAGCTCCTCAAATTTTAAAATGGAGGAAAAGTTCTGCATTTGAAATCAACAATCTTAATTTTCTTTTTGGATTCACAGGAATGCTGTTCACAGCCAATGAAGCCCCTAAAATGAACATCTACTACATTCCAGTAAGTAACAAGAGTTTTTAAAGTGATGGTTGCGATTTTGTCTCGGGGCATGATAGAATAGACCTGTACTCTTTGTATTTAGAAGGGATGTGGTGGTTCAGTGGCTAAGATGCTGAGCTTGTTGATCAGAAAGGTTGGCAGTTCGGTGGTTTGAATCCTAGCGCTGCATAATGGAGTGAGCTCCCGTTACTCGTCCCAGCTTCCCTAGCTTTGTCAGAACATTGTAATCTTAATTAAAATTATAGTTCACTCTAAAGGTGAAACTGCCTTTTAATTAGTAAATGAGACATTGGACCCTAAACCTATTTAAATCCCGAGTACCTTGACGAACAGGCTGGGCTTCAGATTTTCTAACAAAATTGACTGAAGGTAAAGGTGTGGGAATCTCAACCCTGGTCAAGATGGCAGCGGCTGTTGTGAGTAGTACAAGACACAATTGATGTGTATATATGCTATTTTCGAGGGACGCGGTGGCTCAGTGGCTAAGACACTGAGCTTGTCGGTCAGAAAGGTTGGCAGTTCGGCGATTCGAATCCCTAGCGCCGTGTAATGGAGTGAGCTCCCGTTACTTGTCCCAGCTTCTG